AGATATAACGCGCTGAATGTGAAAATATAAAACACAGCATAGAAACAACAATAAGAAAGACGGAGTGGCTACAATGCTATCAGACAAAATAAACTTTAAAACAAAAAATGTTCACAGATAAAGAGGGGGCATTTTATAAGGATAAAAGGGTCGATCCATCAAGTGGATATAACAGTTACAAACATTTATGCACCTACAACAGAGACCCAAAGTACATGAAGTGAAGTTGAAAGAATCAGAGGGGGAAACAGAATTCAACAACAAAAACGGCAAACATCAATACCTCATCCTCGATACTGGACAGAGCTATGCAGCAGATTAACAAGGGAGTAAAACACTTGAAAAGCATGACAAGCCACCTGGACCGAACAGAGACCTACGGAACACTCCACTCAGCAGCGGCATGGTACACGGTCCCTTTAAGAGCACATGAAATTCTCCAGGAGAGACTATACCCCAGGCCATACAACAAGCCGCAACAAATTCAAAAGGATCCGGGCCACACAAGGTGTGTTCTCTGATACAAGGGAATGAAATTAGGTATCAATAACAAAGGTATCTGAGAAATTCACAAGTATGCAGAAATTAAATGACACACTCCCAAGTAACTAATGGATCAAAGAATAAATTGTAAAGGAAATTAGAAAAGACTTTGAAATGAACGACAATGAAGAAACAGCATTCCCAAAACTTAGGACATGCAGCTAAAGCAGTGAAATTTCTAGAAAGATACAAACTACCAGAAGTAACTCAAGAAGAAACAGAAAACTGCACAGGTTTGTAACAAGAGATTGAATTAAGCCTAAGTGCAGATGGCTTCTCTGGTGAACTTCACCAAACATTTAAAGACGACTTACCGTAGACCTTCAAACAACTCAGGGGTCAGGGGTGCCAAACAACCACACGGTGGGAAATCCAAGATAACTTTACAGTCAGTCCTCCACATCTGTGGTTCCACATCTGCAGATTCAACCAACCACAGATCGTGTAGTACGGACTGCAGTGTGTCTTTTTTTTTTTTAATAAATTTATGTATTTATTTATTTATTTTTCTTGGTTGCACTGGGTCTTCGTTGCTGCGTGTTGGCTTTCTCTAGTTGTGGCGAGCGGGGGCTACTCTTCATTGCGGTGCACAGGCTTCTCACTGTGGTGGCTTCTCTTGTTGCGGAGCACAGGCTCCAGGTGTGTGGGCTTCAGCAGCTGTGGCACGCGGGCTCAGCAGTTGTGTCTTGTGGGCTCTAGAGTGCAGGCTCAGTAGTTGCGGTACACGGGCTTAGTTGCTCCATGGCATGTGGGATCTTCCCAGACCAGGGCTCAAACCCGTGTCCCCTGCATTGGCAGGTGGACTCTTAACCACTGCACCACCAGGAAAGTCCCTGTAGTGTATCTTTACTGAAAAAATCCACATATAAGTGCACTGGCACCGTTCAAACCCATGTTGTTCAAGGGTCAACTGTAATGCCAGATCTTCAAAGTCTTCCCAAAGAGTAGAAGAGGAAAAAACACTGCCCCACTTATCCTACGAGGCCATTATTACTCTGATACAAAAACCAGAAGAAGACCTCATAAGAAAGGTAAATTCTAGACCAATATCTCTTATAAACATAGGCATAAAAATCCTCAACAAAATATTAGCAAATCAAATCCAGCAATATACAAAGAAGGATTATACACGGTAATCAGCTGGGATTTATCACAGGTATGCAAGGGTGGTTGCAAAATGAACAAACTAGGAAGAGAAGGGAACTTCCTCAACCTGATGAAAGGCATCTCTGAAAACCCACAGCTAACACGGCCCTTGATGGTGAAAGGCTGAAACCTTTCCCCTGAGATCAGGAACAAGACAAGGACGTCTGCTCCTCCACTTTTATTCAACACTGTATTAGAGGTTCCAGCCAAGACAATTAGGCAAGAAGGTGAAATACAAAGCATCCATATTGAAAAGGCAAAAGCTAAACCACCTATAATTACAGATAACATGACCTGCATGAAAATCCTACGGAATCCACTTAAAACTATTAGAACTCACCAACGAGTTGAGCAAGGTTGCAGGACATTAAGACAAAAATCAATTGTATTTCTATTTACCAAGAGAATATGCAATATAAAAATGAAACTGGCAAAACAATTCAATTTATACTAGCATCAAAAAGGATAAGACACTTTAGAATAGATTTAACAAATAAAGTACAAAATTTGTATCCTGAAAACTACAAAAAAAAAGTTAAAAGAAACTACTGAAGACCTAAATAAATGGAAAGACACTCCATGTTCAAGAACCGGAAGACAATACTGTTAAGATAGCAATATGGCCCAAACTGACCAACAGATTCCATGCGTCTCTGTAAGAACCTCAGCTGGCTTCTTTGGAGAAACTGACGGGCTGGTCTTAACATTCACAAGGAACTGTAATGGGTCCAGAACAGTCAAAATGATCTTGAAGAACAAAGGTGGAGGACCCACAATTCCCAGTTTCAAAACTTACTGCAAAGCTACAGTAATTAAGGCAGTGTGGTACTGGCACAAGGATAGGCATATAGATCGACAGACAGAACTGAGAGTCCAGAAATAAACATTCACATTTATGGTCAGTTCATCTTTGACAAGGGTGGCAAGACAATTCAACAGGCCATGATTGGTCTTGTCAGCCAACAGTGCTGGACCACTGGCAGCCACAGGCAAAAGGACAGGAGACCCTTATCTAAATCCATGTATAAAAATGAACACAAAATGGATCAGAGACCTAAATGTAAGACACTAAAGCTGTAAAACTCTTAGAAAAAAACATGGCAAATCTTTGTGACCTTGGATTAGGCTATGACTTCTTCCTCTTCTTTTTTTTTTTAAATAAATTTATTTATTTATTTATTTTTGGCTGCTTTGGGTCTTCATTGCTGCCCGCGGGCTTTCTCTAGTTGTGGCGAGTGGGGGCTACTCTTTGTTGCAGTGCACGGGCTTCTCATTGCGGTGGCTTCTCTTTTTGCAGAGCACGGGCTCTAGGTGTGTGGGCTTCAGGAGCTGTGGCACGCGGGCTCAGTAGTTATGGCTCACAGACTCTAGAGCACAGGCTCAGTAGTTGTGGTGCACGGGCTTCTCATTGCGGTGGCTTCTCTTGTTGCGGAGCACAGGCTGTAGGTGCACGGGCTTCAGTAGCTGTGGCGCACAGGCTTAGTTGCTCCATGGCATGTGGGTTCTTCCCAGACCAGGGCTCAAACCCATGTCCCCTGCATCGGCAGGTGGATTCTTAACCACTGCACCAGCAGGGAAGACCCTAGGCTATGACTTCTTAAATGTGACACCAAAGCACAAGGAACAAAAGAAAAAATAACCTTCACTGATATTTAAATCTTCAAAGAATACCATCAAGAAAGCAAAAAGACAACCCACAGAACGGGGAAAAAATACTTGCAAATCAAGTATCTGATAAGAAACTTAGATCTAGGATAAAGAACTCAATAATGAAAAGAAAAAGAACCCAATTTTAAAATGGCCTAAGTGTCTGAGTAGACATTTCTCCATGGAAGATACAGAAATGGCCAATAAGCCCACGAAAAGATGCTCAACATCGTCAGCCATCAGGAAACTCAAATCAAAACCACAATGAGAGCGCACTTCACACCTACAAGCAGGGCTACTCACAAAGACCTATCATGACAAGTGTTGACAAGGATGTAGAGAAATCGGACTCCTCATACACTGCTGCGTGTCATGGGATGTGAAACGGTGCAGCCAATGTGGCAAACAGTCTGGCAGTTCCTCCAAAGTTTAAAGGGCTGCCACATGACTCGTAGGATAAATGGATAAATAAAATGTGTCCTATCCATACCATGGAATATTACTTGGTAATGAAATGATGTGAAGTACAGATAAATGCTGCAACATGAATAAATCTTACAAACATGCTAGCTGGTCACAAAAGGCCAAACAGTGCATTATTGCACCTGTATGAACACCCAGAACTGGCTCATGTCCACAGACAAAGTCAATTCCTGGTTGCCTAGGGGTGGAGGGGCTGCGGAAATGGGGAGTGACTGCTCACAGGCTCAGGGCTTCTTTGGGGACGAAACGTTCTGAAATCGATGATGGTTGCACAACCCTGTGAATGTACTAAAAACGGCTGAACTGTACACTTTAGGGGGTGAGTTGCACAGTACGTGAACTATATCTCAACAAAGCTGGCACTCTTACAAAATGCAAAGGTGCCGATCTCCTTGGACACACTGCTGCACGGCACGCACATGGGGTTCTTTCACAGGTGAATTTGTATTCGCGTTTAACAAGCAGACCACTAGCCGAGGAAGCCCCCAGTGTATTTATCAAGGTGGTGTGTGAACCAGCAAAGGGTTTAAAAACCACTGCTCCGGAAAGTTTCACATTTCCTCAGAAAGTTACACACAGGGTCACCATACGACCTGGTAATTCCTCTCCTAGGTGTACATATACCCAAAAGGAGAGGAAACCTATGTCCACAGAACCTTGTACCCACCCGTTATGTTCACAACAGCATTACTCACAACCTCAAAGGAGAAACAACCAACCCCAAATGCCCAGCAACTGATAACTGGATAACCAAAGTGTGGTACCACCACACAATGGAATATTATTCAGCTCTAAAAAGGAATGAAGTCCAGATTTGTCTACAGCACAGACGAACCTTGGAAACATTGAAGTTTAAGAGAAAGACCACACATTGTATCATTTGAAATGCCCCAAACAGGCAAATCCATAGGACGGAAAGTCGTTCTCGTGGTTGCCAGGAGCTGGGGGGGGCAGGGGGTGGGATGGGAAATGACTGCTGATGGCTATGGGGTTTCTTTGGGTGATAAAATGTTCTGGCATTAGGATGTGGAGCTGGTGCAGGACTTTGTGAACAAACCATAAACCACTGTATACGCTAAACTGTATACACTGTACCGGTGACTTTTATGGGTTGTGAATTACACTTCCATTTAAAAAGCAAATTCCTCAATTACAAATATGAATCAGATGTGTAAACTTACCAAAATTCTTTTACGGTCCTTTTCTGATAAAAATTTTACAGGCGGGTATTTCTGGGTGAAGCTGTATAATATAAAGAGATTATAAAAGAAAGAGTCAAACATCTCATGTGAGTATTTTCTCTACTTGCCACCAAAACAAATGCCGGATTTGAGAACTGTTGCTATCTGCTCCCCTCTCTTCTGCAAAAGAGGGCTGCGGCAACCAAGCAAGCACTGGTTAACCCTGAGCTCAAGACCAACCTGCTCCTTGTTTACAATCACACAGGTGTGACATGCGATGCTATCCCTGGACAGGGAAAACGTCAGGAAGTACCAGCCACCGGCAGCCAGGGCTGAACACAAAACACGGGAGGGGTGGCGTTCTCGAGACGCCATGCCCAGGCCTGGGAGGAAGATATCGGCTGTGTGGGGTCACAGACCCAGCCCTGCCGACTGTACCCCCAGGAGGAAGAGAAGGTGTTAAGACTCTTCCCCTCTTCGGGCAGTTTCACAATTCCAGCCCCCCCTACCCAGCTGGGGGCCCTGGACAAAGCGACTGGGCATCAGCCCTTTCTGCCCACCATGGTCCATCTGAACCTGTCTGGGGTCTCACCTTATCTTTCAATGCCTCTTGCCCCCATCAAGGTGCCACCAGTCCCCAACCCACACGGATGTTCCAGGGCTGGGGCAGCATAAAAGACATATAAAGTTTCAAAAGAGAGTTGATAAATATAGACTTGAAATATCCACTTTTAAAGTGATTCGGTCAGAAACAAAAGGGCTTTTTAAAAAATGTGGAGAAAGCAGCTCTAGAGTTATTATTTTAACTGCAGATGTGCTGGGCGGGGGCCCTGTCTCCATCCGCCCCACACCCGCAGCCAGGACGTGGAATGCATCTCCTCAGTGGCTGAACTGAACGGCGCAGGACAGGTCCTCAGACAGAAGACCTTGAAGCAGGTGCTTCTCGTCTCCTGAAGGAGTGAAGCTCACTGACAACAGAGCTGGGCGGGTTGGCAGTGCACGTGATCCCCTGTAGGAGCTTCCAGACTCTCAAAAGGTCAAGTTCACCATGCAGACGCCAAACACAGGCAGGCAGCTGGGAGACGCCCAGGGGATGGTGAGAATGCCAGCCTTCCTGTGTCAGTTCTGTGACCCCGTCCACACCCCTGGGGCAAGACCCCCAGGCGCTCTGGGCACCTCGGGTTTCCTGCTCCCTCGAGCCAGAGGGCTGCCCGCAAGCCGTCCTGGGACCCGGCCACCACAGCAAGCACTTGATGAAGCAGGGCCGGGGGGGATGACAAAGCAAGCCCCAGCACTGGCCGGGGCAGCCCTCCCACCTGCCCGGTACCCCGTTCTCCGAGGGCCCGACACCCCTGCTCCAGCCTCAGTCTGAGCTCCCAGCATCCACGGGCCCAGCTGACTCAGCTCCATCCCATCCTCCCCGCGCTGCCCACCAGCCCGCTTCTCCTCCAGGCCGTCCTGACGCCTCCCTTCCCTCACCCAGCCACGGAGGGTTCATCCCCTCCAGGCTGAAGGGTTTTAGAGAGAGTCACGGCGGGGGGGGGCGGCCAGGGCTGCACCCTGGGAATGAAGTGGGCGGAGGGAACACAGGACAAGACTTGTGCATCCAGGAAGAGGTGGCCAATTTGTCCACTGAAACCGATTTTCATCCAAGTGGTGAGCTTGGAACAGTGCCTGCATGAAAGCTTAACGTGAAACCAGATATGCTATTTACACCAGGCAGGAAGAGCAAACTGTTTGCTTATAGGAAATATCCTTAAAAGAAATAAAACCGAAGCAGACACAGCCACCTGACAGTCACCGGTGCAGGATGACTAAGAAAACCGCTTCAAACAGTGTGTGCTAAGAAGCCCTTGATTTAAGAAACGCCACGTTGGCTGCTTTCGTGCCCTGTTTTCCTCCGACGTGTAACAACCAAGTTTCAGATTCCACATGGGTGATCATGTTACTGAACGTTTAAAAAACGATCTCACGGCCCTCGTTCCTTGCTTTGAGGACTCGGGGCACAAAGCTCTAGGCGGGAGCCAGGGTCCTCCTGGGTGTGCACCCCCAGGCTGTGGTGACAGCCGGGTGACCGAGCTGGCCGTGCGACGGGGTGGTGGCTCAGCCCCGAGCCCCAAGCTGGGTGAACAGGGCAAGGGCGAGGTGTGGGCGTCTCTAAGGCCGGGGCCCCTTTAAAATCCTATCCAGGTGTCGCTCACCCACGTATTCGTGTGTTAGGCACCTTTTCTGAAGCACCTGTTCCAGGCCACGCCCTGCGCTGGGGACACAGCAGCCATGGGGCAGGGTCGGGAGGCCACCCACCTGAAGCCTGCATTTCTGAGTAAGAAGCGGCAGGAAGGCAGAACGAAGCGTGAATTCAGTAACGGACCTTTCCTTACCCCCCAGATGGAGCCTACAGTCACTTGTTATCCCATTCCACACTCTAACCTTCCTCTTTGTTAGGAGAGCCTAGGTACTTTTACTTAGAATTTTAATTAGCATTATTACCTGCTATCTATTCAAAGAATGTTTAAAGATGTGGAGATGGAATGAAACAGCATGCAATCCAACTATTAGGAACTGGAGCGTGAGGTCAGGAGGACCAGAAGACCAGAGAGTCACAACACTGTCAATCCACTGTATGTCAATAAAAAAAAAGAAAGAAAGAAAGAAAGAAAGAAAAGAAATCAAACTTGCCTGTACATTAGAATGACTTGGGGAGATGTGCAAACTCCCAAAGCCCAGTCTGCATGCTAGGCCAATGAGAGCATCATTGCAGGGAGTGGGGCCCAGGTGTCAGTACTCTCTAAAAAAAAACAAAACAAAACACAGTAGAGTCCACGACCCAGGCTGCTCGGACGGCACTGACCCCTGTGCCTCCCTGTGTAAATTGGTGCTGACCTGTCAACTGTGTCCTTACTTCTTGGCGCCCCTCTGCCCCCAAGTGACGATCATGTATTTCCTCCCAGTGACATTCTTATGCTGCTGGGGTCAGGATGGCTGTGTGAACATTCCTATCACACAAAGTCAGGAGGAATGAAACTAGACCGAGCTCCTCCAACTTCCGCAAGGTCACGTCCGCACCTGACCTTCTGACTCACCCAGTAACCAGGGCCCAGCTGTCACCTGACTGGCTCGCCCACTGGAGGGACAGAACCCTTTCAGGCTGAGTCACAGCAAAGCAGCCCCGTGGGGCGGGCACTCACCCTCGGTGCCCAGCTTACTGGGAACTCTCACGGTTTCACAGGAATGAGTTACCAGAAAACTATTTCAGATTAGTCATACGTGTGCGTCTCTTCCCGAGTTAAAAGGAACAACAACATCACAGAAGTATCAAAGGGAGTTTGTATAATTCTCATAATTCAAGAGATCCTGTGTGTAAAGCCACTGCCTTAGAAGAGTTACCTAAATGATCCACGTTCTTTTCATAAGAAAGTTAATGCTATTCTCTAAAGAAAATAATCACTGGTGGGCGGATTTTTTCTTTCTTTTTCAGCCAAGGTAAAACTTGTGGTGAGTTACTTCTTACCGTAAACTATTTTTTAAACAGCTTCAATTAAGAGTCCTC